TCTACACGTTATTATAGCAAGATCGAAGATGCCATCTTCAGGACCACCGTTTCCTCAAGTTTGCCAGGAACACATGAATTTCTTTACACCATCTGATCTAGTGGAACGTCTAGATTCAGAAAAACATAATTCTGTTGAGCAGTCCCTCATAATTACTGGTCAAAACTGAGAGTACGGTAGGTTTGAAGTAGGAATGCTGCATAACATTATGAAAATAACTATATCTCATCAGTTAAGAAATATTGCTAAACAAAAGTATGTTTTTCTGAATGCAGAGATTCCGTTGGATTCAACGGTGTGCAGAAATTCATATGTCACTGGGCAAAGATGAGAGTACGGTAGACTCGAAGATGGCAATCCGTATAGCATCAGGAAAATAGCTATATCTCTTTGTAAAGACAGACCTTAACGGCAGGTTTTCATTTTTGGAATGCAAAGATTCTGCTCAATCGAATGATGTATAAACATCACTATGTTACTGGGCAAACCTCAGAAGCCGGTAGGCTTGAATTTATCAGACCTATATTTCTATAATAATGCATAATATCTATTGATCGACATTGAGCAAATGCATACCAATGAGCACCTCAGCGCTAGTTGAGACAACTTTATTAAAATAGCTAGAACTCCTCAACGAAGCAAAATCGCTCGACAAAATATATATTTTTCTGAATTCGGAGATTCTGCTCGATCGACTGGTGTGAAGATATTGATATGCTACCGGTCAAAGCTGAGAGTACGGGAAGTTTGAATGTACCATCCCCTATAGCATCAGAGAAATAATTATATCTCCTCGCAGAGGCGGAAATTTCCGGTGAGCTTTACAATTTTAGAAAGCAGAGATTCTGCTCGATCGAACGATTCACAAACATTGATATGTTTCCGGGCAAACTTGAGAAGACAGTAGGCATGAATGTATCAAACCCATATTTCTATAGTAATGTATAATATGCATTGATCTATAATGATCAAGTGTATATCAATGAGCATCTCAGCGCTAGTTGAGATAGCTTTAATTAAACTGCTATACCTCCTCAACTAAGCGAAATCGCCCGACAAAACAGCATCAATGTCGCAGTGGTATGTGTATTTCGCAGAGGTGTGGGGAACATCGGATGAAGTCGAGGTTTTGATCCCTCTAGAGTTTTACGTTTTTTAGCTGATTTTTGGGAATATTTTCATATGTTATCGGTAAAGTTGCAATCTTTAATGATTCTTTTATCGTAGAAGCAGGGAAAGTACTGAAGGTTGGAGTTTAAATGGTGGAAGGTGAAATGATATCAAAATTTTCAAGGTTCATTTTTGTTAGTAAGTTCAGCATCTTCCATGATGACGGTACTAATGGCGAAATGGTATGCGTCTTTGGTTGAGACCGGGACACGGTGGATCAAGTTGAGGTTCGTGTCATCCTAAAGTTTTACGATTTTTGGCACGTTTTTTTAGAATATTTCCTTATTTTTCAGTCATGTTACAATATTTCATGATTCGTTTATCGTAGAAATACGGAAAATACTGGAGGTAGGAGTTAAATATTCGGAAGTGGAGTGATATCAAACTTTTCGCTATCAACGCAATCACTTCGATGCAGTGTTGGCCGTGCACTGACGCAATTATGAATGCTGTATGATCTCTTTTTGCTTTTCGTATTGTATGACCTCAGTATGAACGACAGATAGCTTCCAGTTAAATTTAGCATTGAAGAGATCGAAACAGTTCTTATTTGAATTCAGTATTTTGTCGTTTGTATTTCAGTATCAAATATTTGGATTTCACTGTTTTATCACACCATGCGATTTCTTGATTTCATCGTTTGAAACAGTTCATTTTTTTTGATTTTGATTTTGATTTTACGAATTTTTATTACTTTTTAAAAGTGTACACTGTTATTATAAATATTAAGACGTTTCGTATAAAAACATATCAAAACAACCCTTCAGAATCCTTGAGCTTCATCTCTGTTACACTTCAGAAGAATATCAGTCGGTTTATAGTGAGTGAGAGTATTAGTGAACATCACTATTGCTCATGTTGAGCGTCATAACTCTCTTAACTTAACAATTGGCGACAAAATCTAAAAAAAGATTTCTGTGATAGTCAATCTCGGCTACAACATGGTGTCCAACATTCCGCCTAATTTTTATATTCGCAGTAGAGAGAATTTCAATTTCTTCTATATACATGCCAATTGTGACCAGTGAATATCACTATTGCTCACGCCGAGCGTCGTAACTCCTTTAACTTAACAATTGCCGAAAAAATCTAAAACAGATTTTTGTTGTACTCAATCTCGGCTACAACATGGTATATATCATGATTGAAAATTGTTCCTGTCGGGTGGGTACCAATTGAAAGTATCTGTTGCATTTTTGCCTTTAAGGCGAAATCGAAGATCTCCAGCATGTGTCGATCAGTAGTTAATCTATCAGCTATGTTTTCTTGTCCTGAGTCTGCGCTACAAAAGGATATATGAATTGCCCGGATTTATTCCCATTTAGTAGGTAAGAAATTCACATTTCTGAACATATATCAAATGAAAATCCCACTTCCGTCACTTGGCGAACTATCAGTCCGTTCCAAAAGGACAATTTGGTACAGTGCCACTCGGACAATTTTGCGCGTGCCTCATCATTTTTGTCGGAGTTTAGATTTGTCGCGGACGTATTTGTCAGTCACCCACAAAATATTATTTACAGAGGTGATAGGCCCCACCACAAATATGTGAAGTCCGTTCTGAACATGTTAATAGTTTTAAAATCTTGAAGGTAATAAAATAAATGTGAAAGATTTAAAGTGAGACTGGCAGTAATGAATGCAGACGATTCGATTACTGAGTTAAGCTTGCGGTGAACAATTTGTGCATGCAGTCATGATTTTACAAACCGTAGTCGGTCATTCAGTTGCGGTTGTTTGACAAATCTGGCTGTATTTGGCAGTGTTTCGAGTGCATTCGAATATCAATGACCCCGTGGGCTCTTGCTACATAGCGAACAAATAGACAGCAGATTTCAGGGTACATCACGTGAATGTATCGCCTAGAGGAGATGGATTTGCATGAGGAGGTGTCCAATCGCAACAATTTGCCTGAAGAGGATATCAGCATAACTGGGTTTGTGCATTTATGAACGAATTCTCAATGTAAATCAAATCGTAAAGGGCTCATTCTTTTCTTTTGGTATTTACAAACTCTTTTATTTTTGTTTTGCTCTGATTTATTCCAGTTGAACTGGGATTAGAGAGAAAGATAGCCATCCATATTAAGCCTTTTTGGAATTGGGAAGCGAATTTCATTTCGCTGCAAAGCAGTCAAATAGCTCATGCTTCATCTCGCAAGTCATTGCAGTGTAAACTCGGCACTCAGTACCAAAGACCGGTCGTATTTCATTGATCTTTGTGAAAGATGCGACAATGCTGAAGATGCACGAAAGATTCTCAGGTTGATCATTATGTATTCGTTTTCTTGATGAGAGCTTAAATTCTCAGAAATCTGCTGAAGATCTTTTTGGTTTCGTTGCTGGCGGTTGTACAATTGTTTTTTGACGTTTCATTATTTGCAGCCTGTTCGATACGATTTCGGATGATGATGTCGATCTTCTTGCACCTACTTTACCGATATTAGCTGCCCGTCAATGGCCTATTCTCAATGATCGAGTGAGAACCTCTTTCATAAGATTAAAATGACACTTCTGTTGAGTCCATCGAGAATTCAGTTGCAAATATCCTGGTAGTGATGATAACATCGATTTTGATATACAATTTTTGGTGGAAATTTTATTGCTCATTACTTGCATTTCTAACAAAAAATAAATTACAGATTAAAGAAGTGGTGATGAAATTCATCAACTTTACAAGCAGCCGTCTTGTACGAAAAGCGGCGATTGCTGCTCTACGGTGCTTAGTTCCAGTTGATAGCTCCAAATCATGGAGCGAATTCTTTGTCCTGATTAATGCACTTGACGAGCCTCAAGTACGCGATTATTTCACTTCTTTCGCTTCATTCACTGACTTTTATCAATCAGTATTACTCATTTCCTGTTTTTGCACTCATATCTACACCTTTCCTTGTGAGAAGGATGATATGAGAAAAAACTAAAGAAGAGCATAAAATTGCTGTTTGATTGAACATATTTTACCTCAGTTCTTGAGCTGTTTTCATCTTCACTTATAAAAAAGTTCAATAAATGATAGTAGTTGTACAAGAATAGTCGTAAATGTAATAAAAAAGTCAGAAATAGAGACGTCGGGAATTTGTATCAATTGAAAGGTTTTAATGAAGTTTGTTTGATTTGCATTCATTGTGCTGAAATACCTACATATTTTAGTTTCATTTGGTTGAACCGGCATTGACGAAGTTTGATCTGCTGTTGAATGATTGTTTAGAAAGTGCAACTGAAGATGGCGTCACAGTACGTTGGATTCAAGTACTCTTCATGAAGGCAATTATCCATTCGAATGGCTGGGTTCGTCTGTGGGCAATTAATAAAATAATCACCATTCGTGCTACATTTTTCGAATACGATTATTCTGTGAGTTATGCAATGGATATTTTCACAAAAAAGTTCAATCATTTGAATACACAATCGGAAATGTTTTTAAATATCTTTCCTGTACTTCAAGAATTCCAGACAACTCCCGTTCCAAAAGTAGCGTCGTTAATGAGGAGAAGAAATGCAAACTTCAAGTCGAATATTAATGGAAATTGTTTGCCGTAGTTATACTTTTTGGCGATAGTGTTTAATTTGTTTTGTTAACTTGATTCTATATTTCATTAGTTTCATTTCATTGATGATTTCTTTAAATGAACTTATATGTCAAGATGCAAAGATTTTATGTACTCATACGAAAAAAAAACTGGAACGAGTAAATTATATTCATTTTACTAGATTATTGTAACACATCTGCTGCCTGCACTCAATGGTAACGATGTATTATGGCGTTTAATTGATAGTGGCCAGCTTGAAAAGTTCATTGTTGATTTGGGAACCTTCTTAGAAGAAGTCGCATCGAATATAGTTATTTACAAACGAAGTACGTATTATAATGAAGCATTCTTCAGTTAAATACATGCTTTTTGTTTAGTGGGTATTTTTGAATGAATTGGCAACAAACGTTTTGAAATGCTTTCTAGCTTCGTTCTATCGGTCGTTGCTTGAATTATTTACTTGTGATTGGAGTCCCTGTTCGATCTATGTTGTGTCCAACTCCTTGACATATATCACCAAATATCCGGCTTTCACTGAAAAAGATTTCTATTTGTTCAGGTATTTTGTTGTCATTTCAAAAGAATTTTTGAAAAAAAAATCTTGTCTTGACTAAGAAGGTTTTATCTGAAGTTATAAGATTTAGATGTCTTATTTTGCAGACAAATAATGGATAAAGTTACAAAGATATATTATCTGCAGTTTAGATTATGTGCATCACTCAATTTGATATGTTTTTTCATCAGACTCACTTGTTGGGTTGGTTTTTAATCATTTCATCGTTTAGCATTAAAGTGTTTATCTCCTGCGAAGTCTAGTTTTATTTTCTCAGTTTTTGTTATTGTTGACATTATGCATTCTTTTCTTCAAAATATAAAAAAAATCCATCACTTGCAGAATGAATCATCGATTTGGGTATTTCCACCATTTTTGCATGCAATCCCAGTTGAGGCGTTCAATCGGGTCATTAAAACTACGCTGATGGAAGTGTTTAGTGATATGTCACAGACGATGCTTTCCTATAACGATGCAAAGTCTTTACTACGGTCATTTTTGGTTAATTCTATGCAGCATGTTGAAAGTGTGCGTTCAAATGCGTTGATTACTTGGACGTTGGTAAGTTTTTTGTGACTGCTCTTGAAAAATAATAAAGATTTTGTGTGGTCATGTTGCTAAAAATGTGAATCTGGCCATTTTGAAGGCTGACGCGTTTGGTGTGCGAAATGCTCTTCGCATCGAATTGTGCAGTGCCATCGTCGAGAGTCTCGATTCCTTTTCGTCCACTTTCGAGTCTTTTGATGCGATGATGTTTCTCTGGATCGAAGCAAATGATGGCATGCTTTAAATTTATTCCCTATCTTCACGAGTTTTAGATCATAATGTGAGAGATTCGAGATTATCCTTACATTGCTTTGTAATTAATGATATCTTTTCTGATAAAATTTTATTGGCTGCTTATCTGTTCAGGCGAACACCATCTAATACCTGTTATAATTGAGTTATCGCAGCATAACTGTGTGATTTTGAATTTTAACAGTTAAAAAATAACTTCTATTCAGGCCAGGAGCTGCCACTAAATTTCGTTGAAAGTGTTCGTGAACATATAGGAGCACGAATTTTTGCCATGGAAGGAACGGTGAGTTCTGTTGTTTCATTATCTTCTTCAGTGCATTCTTTTTCATATCAGGAAAAATACTAAATCATAATGCACTGGATTTTTCAATTCTTTTGAAAGAGTTTGTTGTTAAGCTTGTACGTCGTTACTCGTCGAGTTTTAGTTTGCACCTAAATTGCAAACTCATTAACATAGTGTTCGGTCTTCGTTCATGCAGGTGTTGAAGCGAATTGACAAACTCGAGCAACTGTGTTTTTGCGCCTTCAGATTTGAAGGATTGAATCGAGAATCCACTGAAGACTATTGGCGGCCCGCTAAGTCATCGACTGGATGGATCACTGCGATCATGTTGATCGCAGTTGTTCACCGCCTTAGTCATAGTGTTGTTGGATAGAGAAGAGACTGCTATATTTTGTGACGGCGATTAATGTGGTGCTGAAATACTAGTCGAGAAGAAGGTTGAATAAAGTCGATATTGTTAGGGAGAGGGGACGAAAAATATGGTGGGAGAAGGGAGAGATAGAACCGATTTGGTGATGAAGGGAGACGAGAAGAATGGAATGGTGCTTTGATAACGAATAAAGAGTGCATTATTTTACGCTTATATAGTGGATTTTTGGTGTTGTAGAAGGCAGTTGATGCGAAATTGAAGGAATGTACGGCGAAAGAATATGTTGCAAATGAAGTCAATAAGAATTGCGCATAGTTTGTGATATATGAAATGATATGTTGGTAATAAAATAAGAATATTACGTATTAGCGACACAGTCACGTGTTAGCGACACAATTCTGATGAAATAAAGGATTAATCCTGTGTATTATTTGTTTTTGTTTTGAGGCTGATGAATTCAGAATTTTTGACGCACTGTATAAGCGACTTTTTGCGGTCGGATTCGGAGACGGAAATAACTGGATTCCGTTAGCATTGCAGAAGATCGAAGAGGTATTTTACAATATTTTTCAGTATTACCATTAAATGGTTGTGCACCTGTTCGTTTCTAATCTCCATATCGTAATCCCTTTATACCATGGTATTTTCCTTGGAACAGTTTCGTTTGTCGTTCACATTCGCTGTCGTTGTGGTTCGAACTTGAGCATTTTTTTGTTTTGTCCGATTGTGTAAAATTGTAAAGTGATGTTTGCATTTTCAATATTCGTTTTCTTTTGATTCAGTGGGTGCTGGTTTAATTGTTTACTGAATCGCGTCCATTCTCAGGGAATTAATGATGCTAAACATGCAGTGTTGCTAACCTTCATAAATGCACAACTTGCTGCTATGAAGTCGATTCCAATTAAATTTGACGAATGTGTGGGGAAATATTTGAAGGAACACTTGAAGAATGAAAAGCTGACATGTATGAATCATGATCGGTTAGTTCTCGTTTATCAACACAAAATTATCGTATAAGTTTACTTGAGAATTTCTCAGATTAGTTTCTAAACGCAGTGCACGTTTATTTGGTTTGAAATTTTATTGCCGTCTTTCCCTTCACAATGGAGCGGAGTACGTTGTCGTGTGGTGAGATGATATTGCAAACGGAATTCAGAATAATTCCGATCATTGCGCTGAGAATATTCATGTTGTTTAAATTCTTTTGCAACCGCGCACATATTTTCATCTCTGTGAACCAGGAAAAAAATTTGATGCAACTTTTATTCAGGGATTCCATATGGGAAACATTAGTAACGAATAAACTCAAATTATTTCTCCAGTTTCAACAGATTCCTGAATTGTCTTTGGAAGACTTATTTCATAATTGCACGAGTGGGTTGAACTCATCGTCTTCTTGGGATTGTCAGTTGGTGCAGCTCGACGTGATCAGCGCACTTCTTCCAAGGGTTAATATTTATGCAAATTACCATCCTTTTCTTTTCCTCATTGAAGTTCTTCTGCATCATCTTTTCCAAATTTAATTCTATCCGAAATACAATTTGCTCACAACGTTTATTCAGAATTACTTGTGCTTGTTTACCATATTAATATTTCCTGTTTTTGAACAATCCTATGTACTTCGTAATAACTTTTGAAGATCATTTTCGAGTAGCAAATTATTTGTGTATTCAGATAGATAATGTTGGTAAGGTTATCGAAGCAGTCAGATCTTGTGCAGTTGTCGTTGAAGAATGCAAAAATTCTCGTCATTATTTGGCTGCAATTAAGATTTTGCTCAACATATGTATTAATGGAAGGATGCTCTCCATGATTGGAGGCAATCGAAACTACACGGTATCTTTATCACAGTTTGATCATTCAGATGAACCTTCTCATATAAGTGGAAATAATATTCGATTGAATAGATATGCGTTTAATAATAGATAATTGCGTTTGCAGGATGTAATCGAGCGTTTAAAAGAAAGAGCTGAGCGTAATGAGGAGGTAGCATTCGCCATATGTGAAGCATTGGATAATGTTGATGAGCATTTGAATGAAGAATGGATAGCATTAATTGTTACTCTTAGTTGTTATGTATCTGCATCGAACAAGCACAATCATGTTCTTCATAACGCATACAAAATGGCATATTCTTCCCCATACGCCGCTTTCCTACCCACTTCACCGGCACAACAGTAAATTTTTTTCGAACCTATTTTTCTTGTTAACCAACTTTTTCCTTGTTGCAAAGCACACGTCAAACATAATTTACAGCCTTCATGATATTGTTCATCGTATACGCCTTCGCTCAGTATTAATGCTGTATCGTATGTGTGCTCGAAACAAGGCATTGGGCAAATCTGTTCTGATGCATTTCATCCAGTTCTGCAATCGTTTTGATGAATCAGCTTGCAGGTATTTGTAAATCATTCGAATTTTCCAATAAAAATCTTATCTGAGCAATGAGTTGAGCCGAATAGTGATCTCTTGATGTGAATTTGGGTAACTGTTTCGACCTGTCGTGTCTATGTTATTTATGAATGTTTCAATTACAGGTCATTTGCTCTGTCTCTTTCTCACCGTCAAAAAACACATTTAATGCAGATGATTCTGATACTTGTCGACACTTTTGCTGATGTATGCATTCATAATTTTATTTATTCTTTCACATAAAAGTATTCGCCGAATTCATCTCGAAAGGCTTGTCATAAATCGTATCTTGCATCAGATGCGTATTATAAATTGTCACAGATCTTAAATTCTAGTGCATCATCAGCTAAATAAAATGCAAACAGGCTTAAATATGTTTATGGCGTTCAATATTTGAATTAATTGTACTTACGCATTGATAGTGTTGTTCTGTTGCACTCAAATTCAACAAGACAACATTATGTCAGTGATGAATTTTGTGTTGTTCAGGCTGATGTGCGAAGTCTGTGTGAGCACTGCATTAAGCTCATTATTGATTCAACACAACAACCTTCAATTAAACTACTTGTTGAATTTGTACTCATACGGATTTATATTGCTAACGAACAACTTTTCAGTTCTTTCATCAATTCTCAAAAAGAGGTTTTTCTTAGACGTCCATCACTTGTTTTTCGTTGTCTCTTCTTTGGTTTTCAACATGATAACGCCGTTTCAAGTTGCTGAACCCTGATAGAATGTTTTATCAATGTACTGTTAAACTGTTTTGAAATAGTGCTTATCACTAAGGTTATCGAATTCTGTTTCCAATAATGAAATTTTCTGATTGGATTTCTTTGTGAATAGTAGCTTTTGATGCTGATTCAGTTGGCGTCGGAAAGAATCGGCAGTATTACTTCGTGGATAAATGTCATCATGCATATCGTTAAAGTCAAGGGCACAGAAGTAAGCATCACCTTACGATTGAGACAAATTTTCTTAGGAAGTTTGTTAAAAATGATTTTTTTTATTTTTATGATTGCAGTGAATTAAGAAAAATATCGCGAATCAGTTTTCATCGTTTCTTCTTTATCTTAGAAGGAGTGGTTTTTTGTTATTTAAGTGTTTTTTTTTCGTTATTTTCGAAAGATATGTTGTTGAGTTATGGTGAATATTGCTTTGAAGTATAAGTAGCATTTGAGCATTTTTATTAGAACCTAAATGAATCATTTGTTCGTTCAAGGAAGAGCTCATCGAACAAGCTTTCAAACTCTTCGTGCCGTGGTGTACTGCACAAAATTTTTCGGTGCGTTGTACCGCGATCGCAGCAATCAGATGTATTTGGTCAGCAACGTCCTGCAATCTTCAAAACAAATGGAAGTTCTTGCCAAGTGTTATTTATTTCGATAGCGAGCCGTTGGGGTAAGATATATTCACTTATGTCTCTCTTCAGCGTTTTCTGCAATGATTCCTCAAATTAAAAAAGCAGAATTCCATTGTCGTTTTTTATCTCTAACGAGTTTTATTTGTATCGTCTCTAGAAATTTCACTCATTTTCAGTAATGCAAAACGAATTATCGACAATTTATGCAATGATTTTTATTTCGCTCATTTCCATGCGCAGAGACATTGCACTCTTCAGGTTTTTATTTCATTCATATTGTGTTTAAATTTATATTGGTATTATTTTGGTGAAATCTATTTGTTGCCTTATAGAAATTTAATCCAGATTAGTTTCAATCACATTTCAGACAATTTTTACGACCTTTCCTTCTCAAACTGGATTACCATCAGAAGATGTGGTTCCCTTGCGTCTGTATGATGAATGTAAAAGCGGTAGTTGTCCTGTCAAAATTTTATGTGATGACGATACTTTCAACGAGGCACCTTCATTAGCTTATTCAGGTTAATTTTATCATTTTGTAAGTTATGGATGTTCTCGATTTGTCATATCTTTTAAGCACTTGAATAAGAAGAATATTCACTCATCTTCAGGTGCTCCAAAACGACCCGGTAAGCAGATGTTTGTAAACTTCCCTGATGATCAACCTGAGCAATTTCTGGACCCATTGCAGCGTAAAATAGCCGTTGTGAAAGGTGAATGGAAACGTCCGGAAGGTACATCACTAATCGTTATTGCTTCATTAATCGATAAAATGGCTAATATTGGTGGTAAGTTGATATTACTCTTTTTTTTTAAATTTGGTCATCCCTTTACTGTAGGAATAATGACTTATTCAAATCGAACTTCGCATTAAAATTCTCTATCTGTTTTCCTAGTACATCTGCTTTGACTGACTACGTGAAGGATTTATTGCCTAATGAAACGAACTTTTTCATCATCGAACATGATTATCGTCATTAATTATTAACTTAACGAGTGTTCAAGTGACGAATTCGTTTTTGTTCAGTCAGTGACAAATTTCAGGACTTTGTCGTACGAGTGAGATATTCGGTGCCGAGAAGTTGGTCGTTGATAATGCTGCTATTATCAATAATCAAAATTTTAAGGCTTTGAGTTTATCGTCGGAAAACTGGATTACAGTTGAAGAGGTGATTTCATTATTATTGTGGTTCCATTTCGAATATATTGCTAAAACATCCACCGATAAGAATACCAGCCTGGTCAATACCAACTCTGCTTAAGAGGGTATGGAACTATGCCTTCAAAAGTTAAGTATGTGCCGTGAAACGAGCTATTTGGGCTGAGATTTTTTTATTTCGAAGCCTGCATTGATGTTTCGTTCTTTTACTGCAACAGTGGTTAGTGGATTGATTCCAGTGCGAGTGACGAGTAATCAAAATTTTTCTGATTCTTGAAAAAGCTGTTAGCGGTTTAATTGATACTTCGAAAAGAACGATTTTAGGTGTGTAAAACGGAACTTCTGATTTATTTGAAATCAATTCGCCAACTAGGTTATACGATTATTGCTGCAGAACAGACGACGAATAGCGTTCCGTTTGCCAGTTTTCGTTTCCCTCCCAAATCGGCTATTCTTCTTGGGTAATGAAGCTCACTTGTTTCATCTATTCGCTATCTTTTCCATTTTCTTCGTTCTGTTTATCGGAAATTAGTCACTTGGAATTGTACGCTTTACAGTTGATAACAATTTTAAATTACAGAGATGAAAAAGAAGGAGTACCAGTTGAATTGATTCGCTATGTTGATACGACTGTTGAAATAAATCAAGTGGGTCACACAAGAAGCTTAAATGTACATGTGACAGGTGCATTATTTATTCAGAAGTATGCCGAGCAAAACAATTATACATTAGCGAGATAATATAATTAATAAACGTTCTGGCACTATAAGGGTCAATATAGACTCAGTGTCACTTCGCCTTAACTTAACAGTTTTATTATTGGCTGGAAAATTTGGCTTTTTTTGGCTTTCCTTATTCATACTTCTTTGCTACTTTTTAATTTCCGTTAGTCTTTTTGACGAATCAAGTGACGTTCAGTTCAGCCTCGCTTTATTAGTGCCTATCGCCATCAACCCACATATAAAAACACATTCCGTAGTAGAAAAAAGCATATTGCATGTGCTCTCTTATTAATGCAATCCTTTTGTCATTACCGCGCTCGAGATTTTCCCAAAACAATGTCGCTTTGCATAAAATCGGTTTGTTCTCGCCTCTGATTTATTTCTGATTGAAACTTTTTGCTCGAAAACATTGTTAAGTAGGTAACTGCAACTTGCTGTTTTCTTATTGTTATTGTTTCATCGTTGTTTATTGTTTTGGTTTGTTACTGTTCTGTTTGTTGCAATCAATAAAGAATCACTCCAATTCTTCCGAGATTTAATGTGCAATATTTTGAGTACATATACAATTAGCATACGAGCACAACGAGGTCGTATGTTTATTGGTTCATAATTCATCATTTTGTAAATGAAATCATGGACTCAGTCAGACGAGTGGATGGGCACTCTTTTGGTGAGCGTTGAGTCACACATGGTTGTGTGGTCGCTTTGCTGTATTGTGATCGATTAACACGGAAATGCTAGATGCAACAATGTAACATAAACAGTAAAACAATGATATGCATCATGCGAATGAATGTGGTCGAATGGGCTTCAGTGGGTCGAACAGCTTCGGATCTCGCAAATATTTCGGATCTTTTACCAATACAGGCATATAACCAGCACGTCGACTAAGCGCAATTGTTTCAATCAATTTCTTCTGTTGGTGCTCACAAAGACCGGTAATATGTCTACAATTAGAAAGTGGTTAATCGTATAACCTGTTCATCATCCTTCTACCTCTCTTAAGAAGATATAAATTACATTCCACTAAAATTTTATCGCTTAATCGTTTACAAATTCATTGTTAAAATTTCGCGTACGGGTGAGTGATTCTTTTTCCATTTAACTTTTCATATACGCTTCATTCACATGTGATTTCTCGTTAAGACAGTGGTTCTCATGGTCGTGTACTCCATTACCCCTATCGATGATCTGGCAGGCCCTACCCCTTGATATAAGAACGTACTATTTCTACATATAATATCAGAAGCAAACGGAAAACTGGTCCGAAAATTTCTCAGCGGCGTGAAAGAAATTAGTTTTGTGTAATGAAACAAGTATTTTTAGAACCTTATTCATCCATTGCAGAAACAATATGAACCTTGGCAATCAAGAACAAAAAATCAGTCATCTCATTCATAAGTACAGAAAATAATTTTCGCTGCAGAATCCCAAAGCAAAATGACCATGTGGCGCACATTTGCCATAAATCAGATAAATATGACACGATTGAGCAGTTACTTCGTTCACAAAAAATCATATACGAACCAAAAATTCCTTTATATTCAGTAATTTAAAAACTTACCAAAACTTCTCAGTGCAACCAAATAATAATAATGGATGAATTCAAACACACTCGATCCTCCCACACTAAACCAATGATCTTTTTGTCGTACCAAAGAGTTTAATCAATTCTTAGCGTTCATGAGAGACGATGTCATCTGATCTATTAAAGAACTTACGAAATAATTGTGACTACTTCAGACTGAATTTTATTCACACCTAGGCGAGCTAGAGATACTCAGAAAGTAGGATGAAGAAGAGTGCTTTCATGAGCAAGCCGCGTTTAGATCTTCGAGTGAAAAAAACACCATCACAATGGCGTTCTATGATAACATAACAACTGCACGAAATACTAATTCCCCAATCCCCTCCGATACCCCTTGGCACCCTCTAAATTACCCAAAATGGGCAATTTCATCCCCTATGAGAACCACCGTGTTACATTGCGATGAAACAATTTCAACCTACAATTTGAACATCTATCGAATAATATTGTAAAAGATAGATTTCACCTGTCATAAACACGTCCTGAGAAATTCGATACGAATTGTTGCAGCAGACGAGCATTTTTATAGTCCAATTCAATCTTTCTAGCACATAGGATACATTTACGTTCCTCTTTCTGATACGGATTCGTCTCGAGCTCAATTGGTGAATCTTGTTCACTGGCTGAAGAGGATAGCGCAGAGGACGCGCTCACTAATAATGTATTAACATCACGCATAACCAAACATCGGACATGCTTCTTCATTTGACTTAATGCGCCGATCGATTTCATTTTAGCTTCGCGATACGCCAATAAAAGCTACTGTTTTCTGAAATTATTCACAGAAAACATCTTACGAATATCATTGCGATAAGTGACGATTATCGATGGGAATAATACAGGGAGGCGCAAGGACCAAATCACACAGAACAGACATGGTCAGATAATACAACAACAGTCGTTTATTCTTCATCTGAGTATTTGAACAACAAAGCAAAACAACAATAAAAGTGGCTTAAATAAAACAAATGAGATATTGCATGCATCCGAGATGTTTTCGAACAACATTTGAGAAACGAGATTATTACAAAGCTTTTCTAGTACTGTATGGGTTCCGCTCACTAAAATATTGAACTGAACCTATTGAACGTATTTCAGTTTTCAGCTCATCAAAAAGATCGGAAATCACTCCTTGACATAACATTCGAGAACTGGAGAAAGCATTTAATTCAGAAGAACTATGACGCTCATAATATCAATTCAAATCATTATATCAACTCAGCAGTTCCTCTTTTTAACTCCATTGACGTGTACTTCATAAGACGCTGGGATCACTCAACCTTCAAAACTGCATCAGTACATTCGATAATTCTTATCGATTATCATGAAAATGCTTAATATGGACGAATGAATGCTGTATACGCGATATGTTAACATTTGAATAATTATTTTCTGAGCCAGAATGGAAAATTCTTTGATTAAAATCACTCAATTGGATCCCCTCTGGCACCAAGGCGCTGTGGATCCTGACTTGGATAATAAACCTTGTCGACTGGTTGTGACATCGACGAAGATCGTGTTTCGTTCGCATCGTATGTCACCTGAAAATTTGAAAATGAGACCTTTTTATAAAATTCAGGAACGAAACAAGCAATATTGTTGTTGATGAAAGTATTAAATGTTGATGATGGATATAACAGAAAAGATTTACATGGCAAACATAGCAACGGATTGACTTAATAAAAGAACTACTGGTATGGTAATTAACAACTCACATTTGGGACGTTCAGTTTAGCAGGTGGTGCAAATGATGCAGGTGGAGGCATTGGTGGCATCGGTATATTGTCGAATCGTAATCTTTTTGATGGTCCAGCCTCATCACCGAATACATCCGGAATTGGGCATGCTTAAAGCGCAATTCTCAGTTTGTCATTCAAAACTCACTGTCTTGTTTACACAAGAGAAATGAAACACAAAATACTTACGATTCGGTAGACCTGCTACCGATTCGACTTTCTTCTTTTCCTCAGATTCTTGATTTTGTGACTGTGGTCGTCCCCAACGAATCTTTAAACGTCTCCCTGGAACATAATCGACCGTTACAAAATGCAACGTAACAGAAACGATCAATTCTAAATGAATCAACAATTTGCTACAGGATATTCAAATCGAACCATGCAAAATAAGCTTGTTGAAGGAACGATCAGCCGCTCTTTCTGCAGCCTGGCGTGTGGTGAACGCGATAAATGCACATCCTCGATTGGCTAGCACATTTAAACTACGAATTTCACCGAACTGATAAAAATAATCTCTGAAAATTAGGCAACATATCGTTCACAAGCAATTCTTGTCGTGAAATACAAAACAAAACTGCATATGATTCGATAAGTAATCATGAGAATACCTATTCTTATTTAAACGTTACTACCTGAGATCAGCTTCAGTGATCGTACCAGGAGGTCCCAAATCACCAGCATAAATGGTTGTAATATTAGTATCCTCGGGCGGTTGAAGAACAGGCATTGCTTTGGCTCGATTCAATAACTTATCGGCCACTGGATCATTACTGCCATAGTAACGATCACGCATATTTTGATGACTTAGTGGATCATCTGGATCCGATGGCTTCTCATGTCTGCAACATCAATTACTCAATATTTCTAAACAAAAACATAAACTGCAAACAAATAAAGTTTAATTCCGAACACCCACCTATAAGGACATTCTTCACCACGTTTGCATTCACCTTTTACGAAAAACGAGCATATATGTGGTTTATTGCGTTGATAATATGGTTGGTTGCGGGCTAATTTCCGCAATAATTCATTCGATCCTGCATCGGTGATCTTTGCTATTGCTCCACCTGGAGTTGTACCGTCAGTTAGTGCAAGTTCCCTTTCCTGGTTTTGCACGTAAAAATCTCGATTTGCACCCTGTTTCGGCATATCATCATCAATTTGTAGCGCATGATCACGAACTTGCACAGGCAGCCCTGAAATACGACGGAGAATGAAGTGGAGACGATCACTTGAACAAATGCAAAACAAACAAAAACGTCTAAAAGGAATGGCAGCTTTGCATTCACGACGAGAATTTCAGGTGAACAATAAGGAAGGAATCGTTTGACGAAAAACTAACAAACCGAATTCTAAATCCAATAAACACGTTTGACAAACATTCTTCATTTTAGCACACGTTTGGCATACTTCTGTTTTCTTATAACGCATTCCTTTGCCAGGCATCCAACGGAAGTTTGTAAATGGTCGTTGACATATTTTGCACTCTGCGCCGTGGCGATCCTTCATCTGGAAGATTCTTGTTGTGAATCGATCGAATTAGCAGAAAATTATTCATCAGAAATAATTCTGTCAGCGAATTATATAAAGATACATTCATTCCGACACAATAATGAGGCTGACTAAATGATATAAAATATTATCAAAATATAAAATTGCGCGAATACGTGAAAAACAGAAAGTTCAAAATAAAACTGACCATACGAATATAAGGATTTGAACCAAGACATGTTTGACACAAGATTGGGAATTCCTGAAAATCAATTATCAATTCCACGCACCAAATCGATACACTTCCAATAAGAATATTTGCGGAAAGTTATTCCCTTACAAACTTGAAAAACGTCCAAATTAAATCAGTTTTGAAAACGGAATTGGGATCTTGAAATATTGAACTGCATTTTGAACTTCACTCACATATCTGTTATTGAACTTCGAATAAGAATGACAAAACCGACAAATTTCAGGACGAAAGGAAAATGATCCAACAAAGTATAAAATAAAAATTGACTAACAGAATCCTCCCAAGTTTTTCTGTTGTAGGTATATGACGACTTGGACATAGACATTTTGCTGTTGTCGTTTTACACCGATAACGTTCCGAATCAGGATCAACAATAAGCAGCGAAGGTAAGAAGCATCAAACAAAGACCTGCGGGGTATGACCTAAACAAACTGTTTAATTCAGGTACGATTAAAATCACATAAAATATTCCATCATCACAACAGTGAGCAATCATGCATGAATTTCGATCGTTATGGCTTAGCTGATCCGTAAATTAACTTAAACCTTATCGAGCAAATCTCGCTTGACATTGATCGTCACGACCACAAAACTTATGTTTTGAATTTATGAAAATCATTATTCGCAATAAAATCGCAATAGATCGCGGATGATGTGGACGATTTGCCACAATCATGCTTCTGGTCATTAATCGGAAATGGACCTCCCACAATGCTTGTGGCCATTCAATCTGGATTGAGTAACACCATATGACGTCTGTTAAGGTCATTCATCCTAAAAACAGCAATTTGTTATCAACTTTGTTGTCGACTGAGTAAATAAGTATGCTTGCAGCTAATTGTGATCCATGCAACGAGAAGTAAACCAATTAT